GTATAGATGTGCTTTACACAATTGATCTATGTATTGTGATGAATTGTATGAGCCCCAATTAAAAAAAAAAAGAAAAAAATTGAAATAAAAATAAAAATTATTTAGTCACCAAAAAAAAATAAAAATAAAAATAAAATAAAAGGTAATGGAATTTTCTTGGAACTTTTTGAAGCCCCTTAATATAACTACCTTAAGAAACAATAACCTACTCTACAGGAGAAAGAAAAAATGTCTTTACTTTGTGTATATGTAGTTTTGTTTTGTTTTTTACAAGAGACTAGGTGTCTTTCAATTCCTTTTTGTGTGTGTGTAAGCGTCAGTAGTGGAATGATCCACCCTTTTAAGTTGCAAAGGGTGAACAGAAAGCTACTATTCTTCTCTAGGACATTTATGAAGAGTTATCTTCACCTTGAGAAGAAACTGAAGAAGAATAAATGTCCACTCTTGCCTAAATTTTATAGTTCTCTTTTCTTAACAAATTTCCTATGATGCTTACTGTAAGGATTATAATACATTTTTTTCTCCTTTCAAACTGCAGAAAAAGAGACATTATGATTGGGATATCTACTGCTTATATACCAGGGATAATGTTAGCCAATTTTATTCAGGTTGGTATCGAATCAGTTCTGACTCATAGCTACTCTACAGCACGCATGGAGTTGGCCTCTAGGATTTACAAGGCAGCAGATCTTTACAGAAGCAGACAGAAACATGTTTCTTCTAAGGAGCAGCTGGGGCATTCAAACTGCACACCTTTTGTTTAGCAGTCAAGTGATGTAACCACTGTACCAACATTTTCTCAGAGTAATAATTACTGTAAAAATGAAATAAGCATGAATTTCAGCAAAGATATAGTAATCACTTAACCATTCCGACCCAACTTTGTATGCCAGTGGAATGCATAACCTATGAAAAGTAATATTAGCATTATTGTTGAACTTTGACGTATCTTGATACATTTTCTTTTCTTTTTAAATTGACGTCTTTGGTTCAATTTCTGACATCTGACATGTGATCAATAAACATTGTGGAATCAGTATCTGAGTAAAATGTCCTCCTGCGCATTCATTTATCCTAGAAGACAGGATAGAAGAACCCGTAGAGAGCAAAGGATGGTGGTTAATGTTGGAAATTTGGATTTAGAGGACAGACGGAGGGAATGGGCTTTTTTTTTTTAATCTACAACCTGCTTTAGTGTTTAAATATCTTATTTCTGTTACCATGGAATATGCTTCTTGTCTAATAATAGCCTGTCTACTTCTATACTTCTATCAAACTTGTCTCTGGGACCTTTCATCTGGGGCTCCCTATATTTTACACGCTCTGCAGAAGCATACAATCAAGAAAGTCCCACTCTGAGTTGTTGAACCAGACTGCTTGCCGTTGCAGATGTGACACCGGCTTTTTCCAGGCCATTGACTCTGTGGATGGCATGTCAATCGCGGATGGGTCTGGGGTGGAGTTTCACAGGAGCGCTCTTTAATGATCTTTTAGTGTCGTCGTCTACAGAGTTCTGAAGCAGAGCGGACAGAGCAAAACTGCAGCAGGCCTCTGTGTTTGAGTAACAGAAGGGCAGCAGGCTAGCCCACCACCTTCTGGAAGTTGCTGTCTTATCTTTGTAAAGCAAAAAGGGAAATCAAACACAAAGCATGCAAGTGCCAAGAATCTTCATGCTCCTCAGTGAGCCCACCATACTTGTTCCTCGAAGTATTCTACTAGGTAGAAAGGGCATCTCACCGATTTTCATTCTCCTGCTTTGTTTTACTATCATTTTCATAGTTCCTTGGTCAGCAAATGGGTTGTATGTTGACTTTAGATGTGTTATAAAAATAATCATTATTAAAATGGTTATCTTTACAACTAGTGATATTTTGTATTTGTAACCACTCAAATCTATTGTGTGTTACCCTTATTATGTTTATGCAATATGAATTATTAAATCATTTATTAGCTATCTAATGTCCCATTGCATGTAAATTCTAGGAGGCACAGAGTTTTCATTTCTTTAGTGTTGGCTAACGCCTAGATTAGTGCTTGGCACAGGACAAGGCTTAATGAATCTTTGATTAAAACAGATGAATTATTTCATACCATGTCTGTGAAGTGAGCAATACTATTAGGTTGATTTTTTTACAACAGAAAACTGAGGTTGAAAGTCTTTCGACTAAACATTTTTCTAAGTGCGTACCCTTTGGTGAGAGGTGAAAATGGGGATTTAAATCCTGATAATTTTTCTAACTGCAAATCCCTAACTCCTTTAAATAGAATCCTATAACTGCTGCTGCTACAGGATGACTGAAAAGCTTCCAAGCACTGCAAACATCGAAACTGTGGCAAACCCTGGAAAAGCAAGCGCTCACGGCGGCTGCTGTGTCTCTCCAGGTCTCATATGTCTTATATCTTTGACATGGAGTAGTCCTGCCTTTTGTTTATTGCTCACTTTATTGGAAACATATTTGACTTTTCCTTCTCTAAGAGGTTTTTACTTTACACATGTTCTGCAACTAGATTACAGCCTATATAAATCATATTCCACAACTTATAGGCTGGTTATACTAGCTAGATTATATTACTTAGGCAAGTTATAATAGAATCATTACTATTGCAAATGGCATATACACCCTAGCTAGCCACTAAGATGTCTGCTTTATCAAGTCAGTCCTTAAAATATGAGTCTTAGTAATTAATCTCCTAAACAAAATTGGTTAAATTAAAAAAATATAGTCAAATTGCTATAAAATTGATAGCCGTGTGACACACTCACAGAGCAGAAGAGAAACAAAGTCACTTTTGACTCCTGGTGACCCTGCAGGCCACAGTAGAACTGCCCCTGGGGGTTTCTGAGATTGTCCCTCTTGGTGGGCCCTTTGTTTCTCTCAGAACACAGCTCACCTGGCCCTCACACTCGGCGTGTAACCCACTGCTTCCAGAGCTCTTCGACAGTACTTCGCAGCATAGGAAGGCTTTCCAGGAGGACCCAGAAAACTATTTTTGCGAAGATTAAAGGGAATATATCAACATAATTCCAAGTGGATCATACAGAACATTTGAAGAAAAAGATTTTGAAAGGAATGGTCACTCATGAAGATCATGAGAGCCGGGCTTGAAACAGCAGACTCGAATACTTCATCTACCCCATGGCGGCTGTGTGGCCTCAAAAGGTCCCTTCAGTGCTTTGACGATGACAATCATAATACAAAATATTGCTGTGAAAGTAAATTGAATGCTGCACATGGAACAGAGTAGTACTGGGTACAATGCAAATGCTTAGCATGCATTTGTCATTTTAGTGATGTTTGAAATTATTTTTTGCTTTTCCCAGTCTACTCTAAATGCAAGGCTAATTTAAACAATGAAAATAAATGTGTGGATTTCCTTGAGACCTCTTGTCTTTATATTATTTGAGTAATCAAACTCTTTGATGAAAAAGCACTGTACTTGTACATACATGTATATAGATGTTCTTCTGGCCTGGGTTTTTAAAATGAGATTATATTATATGCTGCTTAAATAACA